GCCAGAAGGAGGGGCCGGAGGGCCCCGAGGAGGGCGCGCCGGGCGAGTTCATCTACCTGAACAGGTACAAGCGGGCCGGCGAGTCCCCGGACAAGTGCACCTACACCTTCATCGTGCCCCAGCAGCGGGTCACGGGCGCCATCTGCGTCAACTCCAAGGAGCCCGAGGTGCTGCTGGAGAACCGCGTGCACAAGCAAGAGCTGGAGCTGCTCAACAGCGAGCTGCTCAAGCAGAAGCGGCAGATCGAGACGCTGCAGCAGCTGGTGGAGGTGGACGGCGGCATCGTGAGCGAGGTGAAGCTGCTGCGCAAGGAGAGCCGCAACATGAACTCGCGGGTCACGCAGCTCTACATGCAGCTCCTGCACGAGATCATCCGCAAGCGCGACAACGCGCTCGAGCTCTCCCAGCTGGAGAACAGGATCCTCAACCAGACGGCCGACGTGCTGCAGCTGGCCAGCAAGTACAAGGACCTGGAGCACAAGTACCAGCACCTGGCCACGCTGGCCCACAACCAGTCCGAGATCATCGCGCAGCTCGAGGAGCACTGCCAGCGGGTCCCCGCCGCGCGGCCCGTGCCCCAGCCGCCCCCCGCCAGCCCGCCCCGGGTCTACCAGCCGCCGCCCTACAGCCGCATCATCAACCAGATCTCCACCAACGAGATCCAGAGCGACCAGAACCTGAAGGTGCTGCCGCCCCCGCTGCCCACCATGCCCACCCTCACCAGCCTCCCGTCCGCCACAGACAAGCCGTCGGGTAAGTCCCCTGGGGCCCGCGCCAGCTGGGCCTCGGCGCCAGGCTTCCCTGGGCTGTGGCCGGAGTGGGGGGAAGCGGCAGCCCGTGAAGCTGGGCCAGTGGCCACCTGCAAGCCCCCCAACCAGGGGGAGCCAGGGGGACCGACGGGGGAGAGGGAGCCACATTCCTGAGAGGGATGCCCCGAGGTAGAGCCAGGAAAGGGGGGCGCCCCGAGGGCGCACGCGCTCTCTGGCCAAGGATGGGCAAGAACCCGCGGCCTGCAGGTGGACGCTGCGCTGCCAGGGGGTGTCCCCCTGCAAGCCCTCCTGCTGCGCGGGCTGGGGCCCGGAAACGCTGAGCCCAGAGTCAGCGGGAGGGCGAGGGGGCGCCGGGGGCGGCAATGGGAGGTTGGGGGGTGCGGAGCGTGCTCTGCAGCCCCACGCTTCCCAGCGTCTGCTGCTGTCTGGAACTTTCTAGACAGTGATGATTCTGCGCTCTTAAACACGTTTCATCAGAAAAGCAACGGAATTCCCAGAATATCATCACAGAGCGGGTGGGACTGTCAGTAGGTTTTGAAGCTTCACCAAGATGGTGGTGCCAGGGGCGTGCAGATGCCACCCACACCCCGAAGCTCCACGTGGGCTGGTTGACTGAGAGGTAAACTCGCTCTCCGGCACAGGGTCCTTGGGCCCGATCCGAATTCGGGTCTGAATTCAGAACTGAAGTCCAGGGCGGACTCCTGTGAGCCGGGGTGCCCTGAGCCTGGACGGAGCGTGACCTCCCCGCTGGGGTTGGGCCTCTGGCTCATCGGGACCCGCGAGCCTTCCTAACGGGCCTCGTCTTGCAAATCCACCCCCCCCCCGGGTCTGCTCTAAGTCAGGGGTTTGGTGCCACTTGGTACCTGTGCTGAAAATATCCTGTTTCACACTCATTTCGCACTTCTGAATTACCCCCCCCCCACCCCGGCACAGGGGAGAACGATCGACTCCTGTAACTCAGACGGGGGGGGGGGGGGGGGGGGGGGGGGGGGGGGGGGGGGGGGGGGGGCAGTCGTGCGGAGACCAGGGAGGCCTTGCTCGCCTCGGGAGCCGCCCCGGGCACCTGCCCAGCACCTCACAGCAGAGCCGCTGGGTGGGAGGCGTAAGAACGCTGGTCTGGCTCAGGATTCAAATTCCGACTCCCCGCCAATAGCTTAGTGTATTCAGCAAGTTAGAGCCTGGGTTTCCTCACTTGTCCACAGGGAGAGAAACAATGCCCGCCTGGGGAGTCGATGGAACCATACAAAGGACTTAGCGCAGCGCTGGGCCCCGGGACCCCTCAATACATGGTAGCGGCGAGTTTGCTTTGATCTTGGAGTCTTCCTCTTAAAATAAGGAAACTGAAATAAACAAACAGTCCCTTTTTAGCACTGGCATTCCACAGCAGACGACTCGGTCCTTCCGACATGTGTCTGTTTTAAATCAGAAGCGCCCAAACAGAGGCTAGCTGATAAGCACCCCCCCACACACACACACACAAATGTCCACGGGGTAAAATGGGCCCACCAAATGCAGTCCCTGCTTGTGAGACAGTTGCGTGACTCCATGGAGCCCCAGTTTCCTCCTCTGTAAAGTGGCCATAACAGTGCAGGGCGTTGTGGAAAGCCAGTGCCGTCAGGCAGGGGACAGGCCCCCGGTAGCTAAGCCCTACTGGGCCCAGTCACAAGTGCCCAACAGAGGTGCTGGGCCTGGAGGCCCCAGACTTCCAGGACTTGGGTCTGAGGAGGTGGCAGACGCGTGAACGCATCACGGCACACCCAGGGCCCGCCGGTTCTGTGCTCCAAAGTCCAGGAGGATTTCTCTGAGAGGGAGCATCTACGAAGACCAAAATTTCCAGAAAGGCGTGAGAATGGATGGGCCCAACACTGCAAAGTATCTGAAATCTGGAAGGCAGCAAAAACTGCGGGCTGTGTGGTCACTGTGGTGACCCATAAGCGCCCCACAGAGCGGCGTCGTGGGGTGCCAGGGGCTCTACGGCAGCCCCACTGAGTCTGCTGGAGAGCACGCAAGCGTTGGACAGAGGTAGGGACTTCCGTTTTGCATCTGGAAGGATTCAGAGGGTTACCAGGGCGAAGGTCTAGGACACACCCTACGCTGGCACCCAGAAAGATTCACACCCCTGCCGCTTCGTGTCTGCTGCCGGGCTGTGCCGGCACGTGCTAAGGCTCCTGCACGAACCCACTCTTTCTCTCCCCCCCTCCCTCCCTCCAGCCCCAGCACAGCTGCCCTGGAAGGAGCGGCCAGGGTTTTATTATGAAGATTACCTTAGATAAAAGCTACCTGAGCTGCAACTTGGGCTTTTCCCGCTGGTATTGATTACTAGTCACAGTAGAGTTAGCACGGGGACCCACCCACCTACCAGGGAGTCCCGTGGGACACCGGCTACTTGAGGAAAGTGGCTGTGGAGGGGCCTCTTCCTGGCCGCCGGAAACCTGGAGGAAAAAGCAGATGGCCTCTGAGCCAATCAGCAGAGAGCTCTTATCAGGCCTGTTCTGAGAGCTTGAGGGCAGGTTCTGGTCTGGAAGACAAAGCCTTCAGTGCTCTGACTCCAAAGATTCTCCACCCCCACCCCAACACCCCCCCCCACACCCTCCCCCAAGATATCACAGCTAGCAACACCCCCGCAATGAAACACCTTTGCACTCAAGCCTTGGCAGCTTACAGACCTGGCACTCCACAGCCCCAGAGCCAGGGCTCTTCTGGTCTGGGGGCCGAGTCCAAAGTTCACAATTCCCCTGGGGCGTCCAGATAAGCCTCGGGAGTCTCCAGGCAGCAGCTTATCCTCCACCACAGTAACAGGCTGGCGCCAGGCCACCAAGAGCTCAGGGGAGGAGGCTTAGACTGCTTCTGGTTTCCACAGTGTGTCACTGGGGTTTTATCTCTCAGATCTGGCCAGACAGGCATCAGTTAGGGTGCTGCTGGAGATGAGGCCTGGCCCGTGGCTCCCGCAAGCTCTCCAGGGGGCGAGTGGCTGCAGCCGCCTGCCTTCCTCTCCACGCCTGCCTCACACCAGCCGCCACAGTGAGGCTTGGGCTGAAATGACTCTTTAAAATCAAAAGGAACAGGCATTCCTAGCTGTTTTTTCTCTTAGGAGAAAGCCCACTCAACTGTTGGTTTCTCAATGGCTACAAGAAGAACGTCAAGTCACAAGTATGGGAGCTTGCTCGGGGCGGCTGGGCCCTCTGACCCGGCCTTCCCGTCAGGGCCTGTCGGTGCAGAGCCAAGGCCAGCGTCTGGATCTCCAGCTTGTGCGATAAGGCGGCTCGGAGAGGTTAAGCAAGTTAGCCCAGATGGCAGAGCTAGGAGGTGGCTGGGCCCAGGCTGGAGCCCAAGTCTGTCTTACCCACTCTGGGAAAATGCTCACTTCCAAGGGGAGGGAGGGGAATGGGTGCGAACTCACGCCAGAAAAGCTGGCCTTGCCCCGAGTGCCAGCTTCCAAGCTGCTTCTTGTCAGAGGGCCCTGGGGCAGGGCTGACGTTTGCTACTGGCCTCTCGCGGCCCTAGGGACGCAGGCCTTTGGTAGCCACAAGCTGGCCAGAGCAGGACCCCAAACTCAGGCCTCCCTGGCCACACGCCTGGACGGTGGTGGGCTCACTTGGTAGCCAGTACGTAACCACGAGATGTTGCAAAAATAAATAAAAAATGAAGAAAGAAGAAACAAGTTGGTGCCGCACCACAGGCATCCTCCCCCAGAAAACAGGGGCTCCCTTCTCGCTGACGGACCCCCGCTCTGGGCTCACTGTGGGCCTCTCCGCACACAGCTGTGCTGGCCGTCGTGATTTCTTTAGTTTTGTCAGCTCTGCAGATGCCAGCGCGGCCCTGGTGTGTTTTGGGGGCTACTCTCGGTGCAACGCCATCACTTGCTGCTAACCGGTGGGCCCCGCTCGCGCCTCATTGCGGATGGTGCAGGCCAGGCAGGCACAGACCACCTGGGTTTCGCCGCCAGGTAGGAAACAGGCCGACTCCTGGACGCTGGCACACTCTGGCAGAGGCTGAGCCGGGTCACGCGTGGCGTCCCTCCTTCCCGAGGACAAGTGCGTCAGTCCTGGGAAACAGTGTCTGGGTCAGGCCAGCCCCGCCGTCCAGGCTCCCAGCACAGGGGCCCCCAGAGCTGAGAATGCTGTGTCCCGGGGGGACGGTGGGGTGCCGTGCTCGCCCTGAGGCAGTGTGTTGTGGGGGAGGGGCGGCACGCAGGGGTGCTGGGGCTCCACGTGCCGTGCGCGAGGCCGGGAAGAGACGGCCCCCGAGAAGGCGCCTCCCGAAGAAGCCGAGACGTGCAGACCCGGCACCCCACTGCGGAGCGACTTCCCGGC